TTCAAGATCCAAAGCCAAACTCACTATTTTTCTCCTTAAAACCAGCAAAATGCATCTCACCTCCTATATGAGGGTAAGTCAAAAAAGTGTTGCTATAACAGAAACTTTTATTAAACAAAAATATCAAAATGGGAAGTTACTGTTTCTCAACATATCCTCTATCCTCTGAAGGCAATATTTCTGTCCTGGTACGGGTCTGTAGATAAGCATTGGACTGCAAGGTCAGTTTGAACCATAAGGATGGTGGTTCAAACTCACCAGCCACTCTTTGGAAACCCTATATGGGTTGCTAAGTTGGAACCAACTTGAAGGCACTTAATAATAGCATCAATCCTTTCCTGAAGAGTTCTGTGCTCTTTGGTTGATAACTCTAGCAAAACAGCACTTTTGGCATCCTCGAAGGACTCAAATTATGTTCCTCGTCAATGTTGAGCCTGGCAAACAAAAAGAGGTCTGAAAGGGCAAGATCAGGTCTGTAGAGTGAGGTTTCCCAACAGAATTCTCAGTCTACCTAGGAAGACTGACCAGGTGCAATGTTTTGATGGAAAACATTCCTAGACTAATTTTGGTGGCCTCCTTCTCATCAAAGGAAAACAAAAAGTTTTCTATTTTGTTAAAACTTCTTCCTAATAAGTCCCCAAGATCATGTGTGTTCTTTGAGAAAATCTATGAAGATAACACCTTTGGAATTCAAAAATGCAGTCAACATAACTTCCTTTAAAAAAACAAAAAACAAAACAAAACAAAACCTCTTTATTGTGAACTGAATGTAAAGTTTACAGAGCAAATTGACTTTCCACTCAGTAATCCATGCACATTTTACTTTGTGACATTGATTGCTGTCCCCACAATGTAACAGTATTATTCCTTTCTATGTTTACCTTTTCTATCCATCCTTCTTTCCTATCCATTCCTGCCTTCTTTGAGATGACCTATCTGCCTTGAATTTAACTGTCTAGCAGATTCTTCTGAACCTATTGTTTTGAATGGATCTTTGTGGCACTTTAGGATCAGACTGGACTGTAAATCACAAGGTTGGCAGTTCAAACCCACCAGCTGCTCCTTGGAAACCCTGTACAGGGTTGCTATGAGTTGGAACTGACGCAACAACACTTAACAGCAGCAGCACAATGGACTATGACAAGTATACTACTGACACAACTTGTATGGAGCCATCCACTGATCACTGAGACACGTCTAAACATGTTTTGTTTGGAGTAAACCCATACATCTATGAACTAGAACCCTAGTACCAATATGTTTTAGACTTAACCTCAGATTCCCTGGTTTCTTTATCTTTACTAGCACTATCATTATCTACATACTTAACCAGGCTAGAAACCTAAGAAAAGACAGACTCCACTTTCATGTCCTGGTATGGTGCTGCACTGGGATAAACTAAATGAAAGGTTGGCAGTTCAAGTCCATCAGCCACTCCTTGGAAACCCAAAATAGGTTCACTATGATTTGGAACCAACTTGACAGCACTTAACAACAATAATATTTTAATATTCAATTAGTTATGCAAATTCTATCTATCCTTTCTTCTTCATCCTTGTTGTTGTTATTGTTACTTAGTGTTGTCGTCGAGTCGGTTCCAACTCATAGCGACCCAGTATAGGGTTTCCAAGTAGCAACTGGTAAGTTTGAACCACAGACTTTGTGATTCAAACCCACCTTTCAGTCATGTGTTTATCCTAAAGCACCACACTAGAAGTCTTCATCCTTAATACACATCTTTTTTATATCTCTCTTGGACCATAGCAGTTGTTGTTGTTATGGGCCATTGAGTTAGTTCTGACTCATAGCAACCCTGTATAGGGTTTCCAACAAGGAGCAGCTAGTGAGTTTGAACCGCCAACCTTGTGCTTAGTAGTCTAATGGTGATCCTACAGTACCAGTAATAATCTTTTAAATGATCTGGTGTCCTCAAATCCATCTCCTATATGACTATCAGAGTGATTTTTATAATATGCACACTTTGACCATTCCATTTTCATACTTACAGAAAGCTTTTTTCAGTATTTACAGAAGAAAAGTCAAAATGTCTTAGCATAACACATTATTAAGAACTTTTGATTTCCCCAGCTAGGTGTCTGCCATAGGTATACCCACCCCAAGAGTACCCTCGTTCTCAGTCTTTCCACCCCTACACCCCACACAGGCAATTTTATTTCTTGAAACCTTTGATGGTTTTCCCAGACAGACTTACTAATTCCCTCCCTTGTGCTACTTCTGTGCTTTAAATGTGCTTTTGCTACTGAAAGTATCACTTTTCAAAATAATTTGTGTTTGTATGTCCATTGTAATGATCATGGGCTGTCATGATAGTAATATTTTGGGGGTATGAAGAATATTTTACTTACTGTTATAATCTGGAAAGCACAGAGTTTCACTCATTAATCACACTTCAAAAGATGTTTTTGGACACTGTACTGAGGAGCCATTTTATCAGATAGTTTAACTTCTGTTAAGGGTTTGTCGTTTTAAAATTTCACATCTGTTGACGACTTTCTATGTATCAGGCACTGTAACAAGTGTTCTATAAGTTTTATTTTATTTAGTATAACAGTAATTCTAGGGCATTGAAACACATCTATCCCTACTGATTACATCATCTGGATCAAATTGTATCTTACCTTGGAGGAGTGGGGCTGGATCACTGCAGGCCATAGATACGAATTCCCTAAACCAAAGATACCTATTGTCATACAATTGATTCCAACTCTTAATAACCCTATAGGACAGAGTTGTTGTTGGTAAGTGCTGTGGAGTCAATTACAACTCATTGGAACCTTGTATAGGGTTTCTGAGGCACGACTAGTCAGTTTGAACCTCCAACCTTGCAGTTCAAAGAAGGCTTGCAGTGGCATATTTATCCTACAGCGCCACACCAGGACTCTATAGGACAGAGTTGTTGTTGTTAGGTGCCATCGAGTCGGTACCAACTCACATAGACCCTATGCACAGCAGAACGAAACACTGCCTGATCCTGGGCCAACCTCACTACTGTTGCCATGCTTGAGTTTCTAAGGCTGTAATTTTCATAGGTGCAGACTGCCATATCTTTCGACCTTTCAGTTAGCCGTCACTCACTTAACCACTATGTCATTTGGGCTCTTTTCAGAGATTCATCAGAAGTATTATTTTCCTATATAACAACTGAATGAGTAGCAACAACACTATAGTTTACATTCAAGGTTTTTATCTTCAAATTGCAGGAGAAATTTCATTTATTTTATTCAAAATATTTTGGAAAAAAATCATTAGCAATTTTTCCTTTGAAGCAAAACACTTTACCAAGATTATACTGGATCTAACTAAATGATGCGACTCTGTAGGCTACACTGGACTGCTTACAGCAACGTCCAAAGTTCACAGCCACCAGCAGCTCCTCATAAACCCTACACAGGGTCCCTATGAGGTAGAGCCAACTCTTCAGCACACAACAACTAGATAAATGAAAGAAAACGAAATAAGAGAAGCAGGAGCACAGAGAAACTGACTAGCTTATTTTATTTCATAACTTTTCAAGAATTTATCATTTTACATCTCTATCTCCACTTCCCCCTAAAAATTAAAAAAAAAGAATTTTTAAATGATGCAATGTGGAGACATAGTGACTGAATGACAAATAATGACAGCTCTGTAGATGAAATTGAAAACTGCTTCTGGGGAAACTGACAAGATGTTTGGGAAAATCAACAAAGATAACTAGAAAATAACATAAAACTCTATGAATAAATATATATGCCCCTCTGTGCCAATCTCTGCTGCTCTTGTCTGGTACATTCAATCTTTTACAATTCACTTCTTGTTGCCAATGATGTTTATTATCACCAAATATGAAAACAATGTATATGTAATTATATATGTTATTGTTAAGTGCCATGGAGTCAGTACTCACTCCAATTGACCCTGTGCAGAGTTTCTGAGGAGCAGCTGGTAGGTGATGGGTTTGAACAGCCGATCCTGTGATTGGCAGCCCAGTGCTTATCCATATATATGGAGTCCTGGTGTAGTGCTATAGGATAAGCACTGGACTGCTAATTGCAAGATCGGCTGTTCAAACCCACCAGCCGCTCCTCAGAAAACCTATTCAGTGTCTCTATGAATTGGAACAGCCTCCACCGCACATAACAACATATATATGTGTATGCATATGTTTATGTATGTTGTTGTTGTTGTTGTTAAGTGCCGTCGAGTCGGGTCCGACCCATAGCGACCCTGTACAGGGTTTCCGAGTATAGGTATTGTAAAGTGCTCCTCGAGATGGTTCCCACTCACAGTGACTCTGTATAGGGTTTCCAAGGAGCAGCTGGTGGGTATGAACTGCCCGGACCTAGTGGCTCCAATACAGCACACGCCAGGACTCCATATATATATGTGTATGTACACCTAGTCAGTTAATACATTAAACACAAAACAAAACAAAACCCCTACATTCCTTTCTTGATGTGTTTTATCTTCTATTGTTGCAGGAGTTAAGTACATTCTTTTTTACTTTCCTCCCACCCCATCTTTTAGAACACAGCATTTGTTGAAGGTCAAAAAGCTGAGTGACTCAGACAGTATCCAGTATCGGACAAGTCAAGCAATTACCAGCCACTTGGCCCTTTTGCAGAAATACACAAAACGTGTAGAATCGTTTAATTTTATCCCCTCCTAGCCTCTTCACATGGAAATTGGCTGCTCGGGCGAATGTTATTTTTCACCGCAGCCATGTGTGGAAGAACGATTAACACTCGCTTGACAAAAACCATTCCCGGGCCATTTGGGAGTTGCACGCGTTCACACCCCAAGCTCACCATGATGTGCCTTCACGCGCGGCCTTTTTGTTTATGCGGCGAGCAGCCTAGAGAGTGGGGGAAGAGAGGGAGTGCACCTCTAAATATGCATCAGGCCGTGAAGGCTATATAAAGACTCAGGTCTCTGGCCTAGTAGAGAGGGTCAGGATTGTCCACGAGCTGGCAGCATCTTTCCGCAGTGTCTCCCACACCATGGACACTACGGAGGGCTCGGAGAAAGGAGCCAGCGAATGCGCACACTGCCTCCTCCTGCTCCCTGCAGCCTCCAGCGGCCAGACACGGCGTGGGGGCGCTGACACCGGGTACCAGTGCTCGGCTCAGCCCTACTCCTTCCCTCCAGGGCGTGACTCTCTCCCAGTTCCTCCTTTCCACTTCCCTTCTCCCTGCCCCAGGCTTGGGTTGCTTTTCTCTGGCCTGGGCTCACTTCTGCTGCGCTCTTTGTGCAGATCCACAAGCTTCTGGAGACCGTGGGTTGACCTCGGAGGTGAGAAAAAGGAGGAGGTGCAACAAAACGCCGCGGAGGCGGTGAGTGAGCCACGCTTAACAGGCTGTACCTCAAAGAGGCGCTGAAGATCGTCCAGGGTAAAGTCGCGGAGCCGAGGGACGTGTGGGGTGGGGGTGGGGAGAGTTGCGCGGCTAGGAGTGGATACGCACTCCCACACCGCAGGTGCTGATGCGGCGAGTGAGTCTTGGAGTAATTTGGGCGCACAGATCTTACCTAGAGTGAGATTGCTGTAACTCTCGGGGTCGCATTCTTAGCAGGCTAGTAGAACGCTGGTTCGCTCAGGTTTCGAGTTTCTAGAAGAAGTGGGTGATAACTGCGGCTCATCTCCTTTTGTTCTCAGCTGCCCGGTAGCCTTGGAATGACCGAAGCTTCAGGAAAGCTTTCCCAATACAGACACCCAGTGAGGTGAGTGAGAGGCGTCAGCGCATCCAGCCCCAGGAAAGAGTTGGAGGCATCTCAAAGCCCAACTCAGCCCAACTCCTGTTTGTCTCGTAGAAAAATGTGTGTTCAAGATTAGGAATATTTCTCCACTCAGAGGTCCGTTTACGCATCAAACTGGAAAAAAAAAAAAAAAGTATAGCAGTTCACGCTCCCACCTAAAAGAGTTGGGTGGTAGTTGTTTTAAGCGCTGCCGAGGAGTCAATTCCGACACATAGTGACCTGTGGGGCTGTGGGTTAATGCGCCAGTCTGCAAAGCCACTTTAACTGTAAGGTCTGCAGTTCAAGCTCACCAGCTGCTCCTCGGAAACCCTACAGAGGGTCGCTATGGGTCGGAACTGACTCGATGGCACCTAACAACAACATAGGTTAAGGTCAGCGGTTTGAAACTACCAGCTGTTCGGAGGGAAAAAGATGAGGCTTTCTGCTCCCGTAAAGATTTACAACCAAGCAAACCTTGTACAGGGTCGCTATGAGTCGGAACCGACTCCATGGCACATCATCACCACCATCACCATAGGGTTTCTGAGGAGCAACTGGTGGATTTGAACTGCATTCCAGTGCTTATCTTACAGAGCCACACCAGGAATCCAAAAGAATTGGTAATGGAGTGCATTCTCAGTAAACCATTTAAAATGTGTTATGAACAGGGAAAGTAACTGATACAGTAAATGTAGAATGATGTCTGGCATCAATGTCTAAGAAATACTTTTGATTTAATACTAAGGGAACTGAATGAAATTGACTTCACACCAGGCAGAGTGTATATACTTACTGTATTGCAAACCAGAAGAAAGACTGAAATTCAGTTAGACTTTTGTAGCAAACTAAGTGTAAAGATCATTAAAAGAGTTAAAAGTTATTAACATCCAATGAGGAGTTAATTTACTGTTTCTAACCACAGCTCATGACAATTACGAGGATGGCACAGAAACACAGGGCAGGTAGTGTTTCTGGGCAGTGTTTCATTCTGTTGTACATAGGGTCACTATGAGTTTGAAATGACTCATCCACTCCTAACAATAACAGCCACAGGAATTTAGCTTTTTCTTAGGTGTTTGTAGCTTTTAATTCAAGTGTTAAGTTTAATAATTCAGCAGTTTGCCTGCTTAAGAGAGTTGTTAAATGAAGATCTGTAAGGTGTATATTTGTGGTGCTGCAGGATAATATGCTGGATTGTAAGGTTAGCGGTTCAAACCCACCAGCCTCACCTTGAAAACCCTATATGAGTCCCTATGGGTCGGAACTGACTTGATGACACTTAATAACAATAACAATGTATAGATATTCATTCCCTACTATGTGCTAGCACTGGAGTCCTCGTGTGGTGCCATAGGATAAGTACTTGACCTCAAGATGGGTTGGAACTGCAAGGTCAGCAGTTCAAATGTACCAGTTCAAATGTATAGGGTACTGAGGACAGAAACCCTATACAGGGTCGCTGTGAGTCAGAGCCGACTCAACAGCACTTAACAGCAACAACAATGCACTAGCACTAGTGAAGGACACGGGGGAAAAAATATTACAGAACCATGGCAAGTGCTATAATAAAGTTTCGTCTAGTCTACTTTACAAACAAGTACAGGGCATGATGTACCTAACCTGGCCAGAGGGTGTTAGTGGTGACGGTCAAGATAGACATGCGCCATAGATTGTATTTACTTGAGTCTTGAAGAAGCTATCCAGGTGGGTGGTTGGTGGTGAATGTGTGGAGGAAGCAGGGTTAGAAGAAATAGTATAGGAAAAGTGACATGACGCAGGATCAAGGAACAGCATAACTACTAGAAGCTTCAAAGAGTTGGGATTTGGGTTTGTGAAACTAGGACCATTCCAGCAGTGTAGCCAGAGGCCAGATTTTAATGTCTTTATGGATATGCTGGTACAGAGTTTTGTCCTTATCCTGGATATTGTGTTGGAAATTCTTATTCTTGATTCTGTAGGTAGCTTTGGGGGTTAATCAGAAGAGTGGCGTGATCAGATTTATGTTATAGAAAACTCACTGTGGAAGTGAGTGATACATAAGTTTAGTTAGATGCCCAAAGTCTGACTAAATGGGAAGCTATTCCAATTATTCAGACAAGGAATAGTGAAGGGTCATTTTAAGGCATTGACAAAAAGGGACGTGACTGAGTGAATCTAAGGAAAATTTAGATCACAAAATATATTAGGCTTTGTAATGTGTTGGATATGTTAGGTGAAGAAATCAACAATCAGAATGGCTTCTAAATTTGTGTCTGGTGACTAGGTGAATGTTATACTAGTGGATTGGAAACAACAGCTTGGAACAAATCTGAGGCACAAGATAATGAATTTAATTTTCCTTTTATTAAGTGTACCTGTAGGGTATCCAAATAGAGATGTCCAGTGGAGAACTGCATACCAAGGTCACAGACCCAGAGTCAAGATCTTAACTAGAAATCGTCTTGGGAGGCCTTTGATAAATGAACAGTTTGGGAAATCATGACAATGGGTCAGGTCATCCTAAATAGTCTAGAGAAGAGAGATGATCAATATCAATAAAGCCCTGGGGGAAGGCCAGCTTCAAACTGGTGTACAGAGAAAGTCTACATGGAAATTGAGAAGAATCAGTCCAAACAAGGAAGAATTTAGGGAAGTATGGAATCCCAGGAAGAAAACAGTGGGCCACAGTGAGAAATTCTGGGAAGAAAAATGTGCTAAAGGTTAAACAGTGTTTTTTGATTTTGATAGTTCCAGTTGTTGTTGCTGTTGAGTTGGTTCTGACACATAGGGACCCTATATAGGATTTCTGAGGAGCACCTGGTGGGTCTAAACCGCCAACCTTGCATTTCAAACTGACCTTGCAGTCTAATGCATTATCCTGCAGTGCCACACCAGTTACACACTGGAAAATAAAGTGCTGCTTTTACATAAGCAATTTGTTGCTTTTCCATAATACTATAGCAAGCTATATGTCTTACTCTTAAACTTATTTTTATTACTTGCTATCAATGCTATATAGTATTGTGTGTGTGTGCAAGTTTTACTCAACTGTCAACTTCTTGAGGGTGTTGTATGCCACGGAGTTGACTCTGATTCAGAGGGACCCTATAGAACTGAGCAGAACTGCCCATAGGGTTTCCTAGGCTATAATCTATAAGGGAGCAGAGTGGCTGATAGATTCAAACCACTGACCTTCTGTTAGTAACTGAGTACTTAATCATTGTGTCACCAAGCCTTCATCATCTTGAGGGCTGTTGCTGTTAAAGTGGTGTCATGTTGCTTCTGACTCATAGCGGCCCATTATATAGGCTATCCAAGGAGCAGCTGGTCATTTTGAACCTCTGACCTCCAGTTCAAACTGACCTTGCAGTTCAGTGCTTATCTTATAATGCCATACCATGATTTATTCATTTTAAATTATAAATTATACCTGGCACAAGGGATAACTAAAATATTTATTGAATAACCAAATAATGTGGCTTTAAATTATAAACTTTTTTTTTTTTAACCAATTGCTAGAAACATTTATAAGCTACCTTACTCATTTTTTTGTCTTCTAAATGGAATGCTTATTTAGGATTCAGGACCACAACAATAAATATCAATTATCCTGGGCTATAATACAGTAATGCTCTATGGATGCATATTGTTGTTAAGTGCTATTGAGTCAGTTCCTACTCATAGTGACCCTGTATAGGGTTTCCGAGGAAAACCATTGCTAACGTCAGATGGATCTTGGCTGATAGCAAACAATATCAGAAAGATGTTTACCTTTGCTTTATTGACTATGCAAAAGCTTTTGATTGTGTGACTCATGACAATCATGACAACACTGCAAACGTCAGATGGATCTTGGCTGAAAGCAGAGAATATCAGAAAGATATTTACCTGTGCTTTATTGATTACATGGAGGGTTTAGATTGTGTGAATCATGAAAATTATGACAACATTGCAGAGAGTGAGTATTCTGGAACACTTAATTGTGCTCATGAGGAAACTGTACATAGACCAAGAGGCAGTTGTGTAAACAGAACAGAAGAACACTGAATGGTTTAAAATTAGAAAAGATGTATTTTTTCACCTTACTTATTCAATCCATATGCTGAGCACATAATCCGAGAAGCTGGATTACATGAAGAAGAATGTGACATCAGGATTGAAGGAAGACTCATTAACAATTTGTGATATGCAGATAATACAGCCTTGCTTGCTGCAAGCAAAGAGGGCATAAAATACTTAATGATGAAGATCAAGACCAAAGCCTTTGGTATGGATTGCACCTCAATGTAATGAAAACAAAAATCCTCACCACTGGACCAATAAGCAACATCCATATAAATGGAGAAAAGATTGAAGTTGTTAAAGACTTCATTCTACTCGAATCCGCCATTAACACTCATGGAAGCAACAGTCAACAAATCAAATGATGTGTTGCATTAGACAAATCCACTGCACAAGACCTCTTTAAAGTGTTAAAGAGCAAAGATGTAAGTTTGTGGACTAAAGTTCGCTTGACCCAAGGTATGGTATTTTCAGTAACCTCCAGATTCTGGCAGTGTTTCGTTCTGCTGTGCATAAGGTTGCTATGGGTCGGTACCGGACTCAATGGCACCTAACAACAACAACAATATGCTACTGAAAGTTGGACAGTGACTAAGGAAGACCATAGAAGAATAGATGTATTTACATTATGGTGTTGGAGGAGAATATTTGTGCTCCAACAGTCCAGTACCATGGACTGCCAAAAGAACAAACAAATCTGTACTGGAAGAAGTACAGACAGAATGCTTCTTGGAAGCCAAGATGGCCAGACTTCACCAGTCAATGGAGAAGGTTACCATGTTTGGTAAAGTGAAGGGTCAGAGAAAAAAAAGAAGACCACCAATGAGATGGACTGATGCAGTGGCAGGAGCAATGGACTCTAGTGTATCAATGATTTTGAGGTTAGCACAGGACTGGGCAGTGTTTCATTCTGTTGTGTATAGTCAACACCGACTTGATGGCACCTAACAACATCAACAAATTGGGTTTCCAAGACTGTAAATCTTTGCGGAAGCAGAAAGCCTTATATTTTTTCCTGCAGAGTAGCTACTGGACTCCAACCACTGACTTTATGGTTTGCACTCCAGTACTTATTCTATAGAGCCATATTGTTAAGCGCCGTCGAGTGGTTCCAACTCATAGTGACCCTGTATAAGGTTTCTGAGGAGCAGCTAGTGGGTTTTAATTGCTGGCCATGTGTTTTGCAGCCCAGTGCTGATCCAACAGTACCACACCAGGAGTCCCTGGGACTGTTTACTTCTATACTGCAATGACTGTACTGTGGTTGATAATTCAGCCTTATCCATTCTCCCTTCTTTTCCTTGGATAAAAAATAAGAGAGAGCTAGATGGCAAAATTAATATCTGTTGAGATTTTGGGAATCTTGAGGTAATCATGTTTATATGAAAATTGTTTGTATAAAACCAAAATTATTGTCATTAACTTTTCCAGTATGGGATTTCCAATGTGGCACCATATGATAAGCACTCGACCTCAAAGTTGGTTTGAACCACAAGGTTGGTAGTTCTAACTTACCGGCCACTGCTTAGAAACCATATACAGGGTGACTATGAGTCAGAACTGATTCAACGGCACTTAACAACAACAACAAAGAGTAGCAAAAGAGACAAAGATTTGAGAGAAAGGTAGCCTTCCTATATTTCTACTTGTGAACAAATGGACAGACTTATAAAAATAGTAATTTATTGTACCCTTTTAACCTTTGTTATCTGTATCTATAGCTAAGAGTTAAACCTGTGAGTTTTAAGGAAGGTGCCAGGTGATTTTCGCCTTTGCCATATGTGAGGAGCATAATTTTTTGTTGTCTTTATGAAGTTGACTGTTGTCAGATTTTAATATACAGGCAGGATTCATATTATTTTACCCAAAGTAATTTGGAAATTGGAAGACAAACCATTCTTGTATACTTGGTAAGAATAAATATACATCCATATGCCTGAAGTAAGTCAAATGTTAGCATTATGCTTACAAAGGGTTTAGTGAATTTGTTTGATCCAATTTACGGCTTGGATGAAGATGAAAACTAAAAATCAGTTAATGCAATTTTGGCACATGGACTCCACGAAAGTTGCAATAATAGCATTTTAAAACTCTTTACATTAAGGCTGTATCTAAATGCATAAATCAATTGCTGAATATATGGAGCTCTTGAAATTTGATCATTTCATGAATGTAAGAATTCAGAATACTAAAAAAATAAAACATATTATTTTGTCTGCTTATTTCAGACTATTTTGGCCCAAATCAAAGTGTTATGATTATTTATACCAAGAAGCAGAAGTCCTTCTGAAAAATTTTCCAGTTCAAGCCACCATTTCATTTTATGAAGATTCTGATAGTGAAGATGAGATTGGGGAACTGACCTATGATTTAGAGAATTAATCTGATTAGTTACTTGGGATGACAGTCAAATCTTGTAGGGTTTAAGTTTAGTGTACAAATGTATCATAATCTTTTAAAATAATTTATTTGTATATAAATTATTAATAAATGGAATATTTTATAATTACCATGGTAGTTTGGTCATTTAAAAATTATTCCTACTCTACAAGTCAATATTGGAATTTAAAATAGGAACCATTTACCAAATTGTCTTGATTATATTATAAACAGTTCTTTGTTTTTTTCACCAAATTACAAATGTATGTTTAGCTATAATTTTGCAAGGAATTACAATACTTAATATTCAAGGTTGAATCCTGCAACATCTGTAATTTCCTACTAATTGCCACTGATGTGGTAGTTACAGAATATTATCTTACTTGATAATGAAAAAAATCACCTCATGCTACCAATCATACATAATTATGTGTTGTTTGCTAGCAGATGGTGAAAACACTTTCAATCATCTCTAACTGAGAATAGGAGTCAATTTTAAGGCTATTAAATAAGTTTTTAATAAATGATGAGTCAAGTAATTTTCACTTGAAATATTCCTCTGCTATTCTTAAATTCAGTATTAAGATAACAGGGAATTCAATACAATTGACTGTAGACTATGAGAATTCCCACCTCCAGCCCTTAAAATTTAAACAAAATGTTTAAATGAGAATGATTTTCATGGAGTCTAAAAAAGGCGAGTGCAAAGGCAATAATTTGATAGTATTTTTCCATTTCTGTCCACCTTAGTATGACAAGTGAAAATATGTGTGAAGCACTTCTGTACATCTGAGAGCTAAAAAAATTTCCAGATGTAAGAGAAGTGATCCATTGTGAAAAAAGTTTACCAGACATTTCCTTGGTCTGGATGAAGCATTCTCCAATATCAGGCACCTATCTTTGTTCTGGTTCTCTGCTCCTAATATTCCCATATAAAAATATTCTCATGGAAAAGAAAATAAGAAATTATCGATTACCCTTTCCTACATGGCAGTGGTTCATTTTGTTGTGCATAAGGTCATTAAGAGTTGATGGCACCTAACAACAACAACATTAACTTGTCATCATTTATGAGAGAAAATGAGCAATTCCCAAGGTAAAGGTAACGTAATAAACTACAGTCATGAAGTTTTCTAAGTGGCAATAAGACCTTTTCACAACATGCATTTCAACTGCCAATAAAAAAAATATGTGTAATATTTCATAGGAGTCCTGGTGTGGTGCTATAGGATAAGCACTGGACTGCTAACCACAAGATCAGCGGTTCAAACCCACTGGTCGATTAGAGTCACTATGAGTCAGAACTGGCTCGATGGCACTTAACAACAACACAATATTCCAGGAGAGTACTGTATAGAGGCAAAGTTCAGAGTTAGCTAAGAAATATCTTTTACTTTAATGGTTATATATATCCACACATTTTTTTCCTTCTATTTGAAAAGCTACTATAAACATAACTTCGGTTTACAGACACAGGATAAGTGAAGAGATAACAAGTTCAAATCATGACAGTGGTTCCAGATTGGCAAAGGTAGTAGTGGGAGGGTTACAGACCTGTTCAAATGTTCTCCCCCGAGTCGTTTCTACTCTCGGGATCTGTATGTTCCACAAGGGACACACAATATATTCACCAGGTCACCCATCTGGATCTTGGGCATAAAGGACTGTTTACCTGCACAGTATTTGTACTTCTCTCAATATGTTGGAATAGTATGCCAAACCACCATTTAATCTACACATATAAATAGCAATCTGGTATAGGGTTTTGAAGCTGCAAGCCTTTACAGGAGTCACAAATATAATGCTTATTAAAACTTAATATCATTTTTCAGATATGGAAAATCAGACTTTGAAATGCTAAAATGACTTGCATAAGGCTGCCTGCCCAGTTATTAGGTGCAAGATCTGCATTCAAACCTCATCTGTTCAACTCTCAAACAGATTTCCTTTTGGGCCTTACAGGTGGGGGTAAATTGCATCTGTACACAATTCCTTGTATAAGGAGTTGGGTGAGGAGGAAGATGTTGTGAGTGGGTGAATGGAGCAAAGATCAACTTTACCAATTTTTTTTACTCATTTGTCAGTCATTAAGGAGAGTTCTCAAGGAACCCTGGTAGCGTAGTGGATTATAAACTGGCCTGCTAACTGAAAAGTTACTAGTTTGAATCTTCCAGCTGCTTCATAGAAGAAATAAGAGGTTTTTGGATCCTGTAAAGATTCACAGCTTCAGAAATCCTATACAGAGTCACTTCTTGTTGTTGTTGTCAGGTGCCATCGAGTCAGAACTGACTCATAGCGACCCCATGCAAAGCAGAACGAAACAGTGTCTGATCCTGGGTCAACCTCACCACTGCTGCCACACTTGAGTCCATCAATGATGCCACCTGGCCAATCCATCTCCTTGGGGGTCTTTCTCTTTTTCTCTGACCCTCCACCTTACCCAGCATGACATCCTTCTCCAGTGACTGTTCCCTCCGGACAACATGTCCAAAGTATGAGAGACAAAGCTTAGCCATCTTGGCCTCCAAGGAGCACTCTGGCTGCACTTCTTCCAAAACAGATCTATTGGTTCTCTGGCAGTCCACGGCACTTTCAGTATTCTCCTCCAACACCACAACTCAAAGGCATCAATTCTTCTATGATCTTCCTTATTAGAGTCACTATGAGTTGGAAATGACTGGGTGACCCACAACCACGACCACCAAGGAGGGTTATCAGAGGTGAAATTTTCTCACAGGGGTGACTTTACATTTGATACCTTAGCTCTTAAAGGGCAGTTTCAGAGAACTCGAAATACTTTTAATAGGAGTGATGGCTGGCAACCCTGAATAGTGTTTTGAGGCTGTGAATTTTTATGGGAGCAGAGTTTTTCATCTTTCTTCTATAGAGTGGCTGGTGGATTTGCACTGCTGATCTTAGCGGTTAGCAGACCAATGCAGGAACCCACTAAGACACAATAGTTCCTTCAAACAAGTGTTAAGTACCGTTAAGTCGGTTCCGACTTACAGCGATCTTGCATAGGGTTGCAAAGAAGCAGCTATTGGGTTTGAACTGCCAAACTTGCTGTTAGCAGTCCAGTGCTTATCCAACAGTGTCATACGAGGACTCTTTAATACGAATTGTTGTTAAGAGCCGTCAATTCGGTTCCGACTCAGAGTGACCCTTTGTAGGGTTTTCAAGGAGCCACTGGTGGAGTTGAACCGCCAACTTTGCACTTAGCAGTCCAGTGCTTATCCTACAGCGACACACGAGGACCCCGAGTTGTTGTGTGCCATCGAGTCGGTTCTGACTGATAGCGACCCCTATACAGGCTGCCGACCGCCGACCTTGTGGTTTAAACCTACCTTTCGGTCTAGTGCTTTCTCCCACAGCGCCACACTAGAACTCCAGGACCTCAAGTAGTGAGTGTTATTCCATGTTTCAAGTCACATTAATACTATTTAGCGATGGACAGAGTGTTAACAGAATTCGAGAGGAATTTATTTTCAGATTCAGTCAGCACCAGGGGCGAAGAACAGCTTCCCTTAACATATGCTTAAATCTTTCCGCGAATTAGTTGTAAACCCCGCCCCCCGCTGAAGTTCCGGGGTGGTGGGGTGGTGGTGGTGGGAGGGGACAACCTGAACATGCGCTTTTCTACGCAGGCGGAGCTCTTCCTTTTTTAACCCCGAATTTTCTCCTTGGCTCCGCCCACGCAGCTCCGACGTGCTTGCGTCATGGCGCGCCTCACCCCAGGCGACCCCGGAAGTGGGTCGGGGGCTTGGCCTCTCCCGGCCGCGGAGCCGGAGCCGGAGGCCTTACCCATAGAAGAGTCCAATCATCTGGTGTCGGACCCCAGGCAGGGCCTGGATCGGGGGTTTCAAGATGCTGAATGTCCCTTCCCAGTCTTTCCCGGCCTCCAGCTCACAGCAGCGCGTCGCCGCCGGGGGACGTAGCAAGGTAAGCGGGACACTGCTGGTCTTAGCCTTCGATCGCCGCCCGACGGCTTTTCGCGCTAACGCTCAACCTATTTTATTTTTTTCCACTCTACTGTCTCTTTCCTCTCCAGCTTTTGCTTGCTTCTCCCATAGCTGGCGACTTCATTCTGATCTTCTCCATCTCCAACCCTCGAACTTTCCGAACTTTTCTCTCTTTTACCTGCTAGCCCCCTGTACTAGGTGGCGCCGAGTCGTTTCCGACTCATAGCGACCCTATTCACAAGAGAACGACCACTACCCGTCCGGCACCATCCTCACAATTAATGTTTGAGCCCATTGTTGCAGCCACTGTCAGTCCTCTTCTTACCCATTCCTTTATCCGGCTCTTCCTCATCCTGCTTGTCTTTTCCCGCTAATTAAATCAGACATGTAAAACAGGGCCAGGCATTTCCCTCTACTCTTATATTCTCCTTTTTACAGAGGAGTTGTGAGTACTGTGTGTCTCCTAACAGAAGGGAAAGGCTGGGCAGTGTCGACAGTGACAATTCTTCCGTCGGAAGGGGTGCCTGAAACTATAGTGGATTAGAGAAGCTAGGACAAGTGTCTGCGTATTTCCCGTCAGGCTTGTAGACACTTCTCCAAACAATGCATTCTACGTCTAGTACCTTATTGCTTCATCACTGCTTTCTTTTTACTGAAATCACTTTCTGATTTTGAAGGTAATATATATTCTTGAGTCTTTGTTGAGCCTTTTTATTGTTAGCAACAGGTAGAATACAAATGCAAAATTTAGTAAAACAGTTGCCATTTGTGTTCATTGCAAGGTGAATGTTGTCTGCTTCTGCTGTTTGTTGTTATTAGGTGCCATCCTGTCGGTTCTGACTCTTAGCAACCTTTTGCATAATAGAACAAAAGACTGCCCGGTTCTGTGCCATCCTCACAATCTTCAGTCTTGAGCCAATCCATGTCATTGGGGGTCCTTCTCTTTTTTGCTAACCCTCCACGCTACCAAGTATATCCTTCACCAGCGACTGTTCCTACCTGATATATGTACAAAGTATGAGAGATGAAGTTTCACCGTTCTGGCTGTACTTCTTCCAAAGCAGATTTGTTTGTTCTTCTGGTAGCTCATGGTACTTTTAATATTTTTTTGCAATGCTATAACTCACATATGTCAGTTCTTCTATGGTCTTCTTTATTCACTGCTATTTGTTATTTGGAGTCCTAGTGTGGCGCTGTGGGATAAGGCACTGGACTGCAAGGTCAGTTTGAACCACAAGGTTGGCAGTTCAAACTCAACAGCTGCTATTTGGAACCCCTATACAGGGTCACTGTAAGAACCGACTCGATTGCACTTAACAACAACAACAGTTTGTTAGTTCTTCATTAGCTCCTAATTTTGTAACCACATCTTACTTGTTTTGAGACTTCCACCTTCCACTTAACTTACACTACTCCTTTATCTTTTTCATCTCTGTGTTAGCATCATTTATGATCTGATCCTAGATCAGAATATAGGATTCAGAGATCTGTAGGTTTCATTGCCTTTCAGAAGTCTGTATGTTCTAAGTGTTCTGAGTACTTTACATATAAGGCTGGGTCAAAAATGAACCTTACTCTAGTTACATTAAAACACTTGTCCATGTCCACAGCTAATGACAGCATTGAGCATGCAGGTGAAATGATTTTGTTGAATAATTGAATGACAGTAGGCTACGTGGCAGATCATTTGCAAATCAGCCATGGCTCTGACTATGAAATAATCCACAGTAGATTTCAAAAAATTTGTGTGAGCATAAACAGAAGTGTTTGGATACCTGCAAACAAAATTTGAACCAATACTCGATGGAAGGTAAGTTGTTTTTTTTTAAGTTGTTTTTGGTGGCGAGACATGGATTCATCACTGTGAGCCTGAGAGTAAATGGCAGAGTATGGAGTGGAAACATCCGCGTTTGTCGACCAAGAAAAAGTTCAAAAGTCAGCCATCTGCTGGAAAATTGATGCTTACAGTTTTCTGGGATTCTCAACAACACTTACCAAGAAAAAGGTTCAATGATCAACAGTGCTTCTTACTGTGAGATGTTCACTGAAGAGCTGTTAAGCATTCTCTCTATAGCCTAGATCTTGCTCCATTGGACTGCTGAAGGCTGAAAGCATCCCTCAAAGATGAAGATCCACCTCCGACGAAGCAGTGAAGACAACACTGCATTTGTGGCTCACAGCTCAGCCTAAAGCATTCTTTAATAAGGGAAAACGAAAGTTTGTTGGCAGATATACAAAGTGTATTAAAAAGCAAAGAGATTATGTCAAAAATGATGTATTTGTCTTTTCTAAAAGTTGATTAAATAAATGATATAGCCAGAGTGTGGATAATTTTTGACTCACCCTCATATATTTAACAACAATCCTATAAAGTGGGTAACTGGCTAAGAAATGTTGCTGTATAGGCTTGCTGTGGTATGAATGGCTGTGACATTTCATCTCTTGCTCTGTTTATCACCCAATCATCCAGTCATGTGTCTTTTCTTTTCATGGGTGTTTGGCTGTTTCTCGCTTTATGCTATATGCTTAATAGCATAGTTTTTCTGGAAAAAGAGCTAAGAGTTTATGCCCTTCTACATTAAAACTACCAACCATATCCTCAGCTCCATTTGAAGGTGAAAATTCAGGGCAAAGATAGAAAGTTCAAATGGCAAAAGTGAGTTTTGTGTCTAAAAAGAGAACACAATCAGAATACTGTGCAATCAAAGGTAAACTCAATCTTTCATGTAAAACAAGATAATTTTGGCTTGACAGAATCTGATTCAGGATGGAGGAAATAGTGGAGGTTGTATATCGTAATTGTTAAAACATGGATTTTTAAAGTCTGAAACACTCAAAATTCCTTTCCCAGCCTTAGCTACTTTGAGTATAGATTTCCTCAGGTATAAAATGAGAGTAACAGTTCCCATTTTATAGGACTATTAGGATGGAGTCATGGTGTGGCACTGTGGGTTAATGCACTGGACTGCAAGGTTGCTTTGAATTGCAAGGTCAGTGGTACAGACTTACAAGCTGCTCTTCGAAAACCCAATACAGGGTCGCTATGAGTTAATACTGACTTGATGGCACTTAAGAACAACAATTGATAGGATTAAATTAAATAATGCTTCTCAGCACAGTTTTGGTATATGGTAACCCCTCAGTAAATGTTCATTGCCCTTAGGCTTTCATTTAAATCTCAGGAGTTATTGGACAAAGTTTAGCACATCACCTGGCACAGATTGTTCACTTAGTATATGATTGCTGTTTTGATGACGAAGACATGCTGTCGACTTGGTTCCGTCTCATATCAACTCTGTATAGGGTTTCTGAGGAGGCTGGTGGGTTTGAACCACCAACCTCGTGGTTAGTAGTCCAGTTCTTATCCTACAATGCCTACTATTAAATCAGTATTTGAGAACCTACTATAGGCTGGGATTGTCATCTGTGATTTCAAAGAGTTCATTCTCATGTACTACACATGCTACACAGACTAATGGAGTTCCTGGTATGGCATTGCAGGTTAATGTGTTGGACTGCAAGGTCAGTTTGAACCGCAAAGTTGGTAGTTCAAACCCACCAGTTACTTCTTGGAAACCCTACACAGAGTCGCTATGGGTCGGAACTGATTCAGTGGTACTTAACAGCAACAACAACAACACAGGCTAGTAGAAGGCAGTTATAATGCCATAGTGTTACAGTAAGGTGTTATGATCACTTGGTTGTTGGGGGTTAGAGAAAGCTTCAGAAGGAAATGCCTGTTTGTTTTGTGGAGGAGGGAGGGATGGAGGAGGAAGGAGGTTGATCCAGACTAAGAGGTTGACCCTAGAACTAAGGAGTGTAATTGTTGTGTTCACTGTTGTTAGGTGCCATTGAGTCAGTACTGACCCGTAGCGAATTTATGCACGGCAGAACGAAACACTGCCTGATCCTGGGCCAAACTCACTATTGTTGCCACACTTGAGTCCATCGATGCTGCCATTTGGCCAATCCATCTCATTGAGTGTCTCCCTTTTTCTCTGACCCTCCATCTTACCAAACATGATATCCTTCTCTAGCAACTGGTCCCTCCTGCCAACATGTCCGAAGTATGAGAGACAAAGTTTGGCCATCCTGGCCTCCAAGGAGCACTCTGGCTGCACTTCTTCCAAAGTGGATCTATTGGTTCTTTTGGCAGCCCATGGCACTTACAATATTCTCCTTCAACACCATAAATCAAAAGCATCAATTCATAAAAAGAAGCCTTGGTGAGTTAAACTTTAGACTGTTAACCACAGAGTGAGCACTTCAAACCCTCTGGAGGAAGATAAGGCTATCTGCTCCTGTAAAGATATACAGTCCCTGGAAACCCTATGATGCAGTTCTACTTTGTCTTATAGGGTTACTGTGAGTTGGAATTGACTCAGTGTGAGCAGACTAACCTAAATGTTGCCACAGAAGAAAGACCTGGAAATTGACCTATACTTGTGGATGTAGTAGCTCAAAATACCAACTGAGAGAGAAGAAGTCTTCACATCAAGTATCAATGCTATCCTCTCTGTATATAGGGATGGACACCTTAGATATTGGCTACCTAAAATGAGGGGGCGATAAAGGCACGAAGTAACTGGATTATAAGTTTTCAAGAGGGAGTTTAGTTTAAGAGTGTGTGGGGAAAGGTAGAGTCCCCACTGAATAGTTCTCATCTTATCTTAGATGGGTCTGGTGAAAAGAGATGGGGATAAGATTCTTATGATTGAATAGTGAGTAATTGTTATCATGACTAATTGTGATTGTCACAACTGTAAAGAGAGAAGTTTTGTAGTATTAGTTAATCTTACAGTCCAGAAACAGGACCCTAGGACTATCAACAGAGAAGAGCATAAGTGGAATGTGGGACCCTAGCCAGAGAAGCAGCGACACTAGAGATGAAGGCAGAGATGAGGACATGGAGAGGGAGAGCAGCTGAGGACTCTGGACTCATGGAAAGTGAGGGACTGGGTACTTGAGGTCATGAAGCAGGCTTGAATAATGTGTCCTTTGGTTGTTTAAATTATTATATATTCCTGAGTGTTTTTGTGTATATTACTCCCCCCCATCCCCCCCAAAAAAAACACCCAGAGGGAATGGAAGCAAATGCTGTTGAATCATGATTCATGGAGATTGTAATCATTGCAATGAAATGATGGTGTAAAGTTGATGTTCTCCCATGTAAACTATCATTCAGTTTACAATAAAAACTTAAAAAAAAAAAAGGCCTGGAGATATGTTTCCATAAGTTTACAGCCAAGAAAATTCTATGGTATATTTCTACTATGTAACACATAGAATCACCATGAGTAAAATCTGTTCAACAGCAAAAGTTTTTTGTCTGCTTTTTAAAGTAAACTGTAGACCTACTGAAGGATAGATTTGCATTTCCAAAAAATCTCTTTAGTTACCCTATGATTTGGGTGGAAAGAAAAAGGTGATTTTCGTTTGGGATGGGAAAGATGATTTGCTCAATGCTACTTCAGACTGAATGGCATTTAACAACAACAACACTCTTAAGATCTAAAGGCTTTAAGTGATGATAAGAATGGGCAGTAAGTATAATTTAGGAAAATGATGTATAGTCCTTGAGTATGTCTGCTTTTATAGTACATGTTTTATATTATTATATTACAAGCTAATTATACACGTTTCGATATTAGCCCTGTCCCATAGAGAAGTCTTGAACAAAATTCATGAGGTTATCTATAATTGGTTTAAATGCTAATAAAAGCTCTCATCTCAAAAATCTTGAAAATGTGGTTTTTTGGTTTGGATTTTTTAAAAATCCCATTGTCAAATCCTCTAGGCAATGTTTGACATTGATAAATATTAATAGTATTTGACAGTAGTAATAAATATTTTAGGCTTTGAATTCAGTCATTACTACTGCTTCAACTATTACCACAACATATATGAAAGTTATTCTTAGCTCAAAGGCTTAGACACAAGGCATAGTTGGCCGCCCATCTTTTTGACTGCTAAAGTGATTGAAGGTTGGAGTTCATCAAGAGGTTCCTAGAAAGGCCTGGTGAACTTTCTGAGAAATCAGCTAGTGAAAACCCTCTGGAACACAGGTCTCCTCTGATGCACATGGGATTGCTGTGTGTTGGAATCGACTTGACTGTAACTGGCCAACTGGCTCTGAGTGTTACAGTTTTGTTATTTTCCTTTACTTGAGAATCTTTGGTTTTCTTTGTATTCTTAAGAAACACATTTTTGCTGAGTGATTTTTAATGTTCTGTTCTAATGTCCAGAAACTCAAGGCGCCCTAGTGATACAGTGTTAACCCCACCAGTTGCTCCACATGAGAAAGATGGGCAGTCTGCTCCAGTAAAGATTGTCATTGTTAAGTGCCACTGAGTCAGTTCCGGCTCATGTTGACCTTGGGTAGGGTTTCCAAGGAGTGGCTGGTGGATTTGAACTTCCAACCTTGTAGTTAGCAGTCTAGTACTTATCCTATAGCTCCACGCCAAGATTTAAAAATCCTATGGGGAAGTTTTATCCTCGTGTGTGGTTAATATGCTGGACTGCAAAGTTGGCTTGAACCACAAGGTTGGCAGTTTAATCTCAACAGCCACTCCTCGGAAACCCTATACAGGGTCGCTGTGGGTCACAGCTGACTCAGTGGCACTTAACAACAACAACAACAATAGGTTTGCTAGGAGTTTGAATCAACTAGATGGCATTGGGTAACCAGAAATTCAGTCTTAACTGGTTGTTTACTTTTTCTCCTATTAAATTTTTTGATTTTTTTCTTTTTACATATTTATTGAAATAATATTTTTTTGTATTTTAGGTCAAAGTTCCATAGCAAATTAGGTTTCAATTAACAATTTTTGTACAAATTGTTCTATGACATTGGTTATTGTATTTATTTTACAATATGTCAGCGTTTTCATTTTATTCTGTTCCGTTTCCATTAACCTAGCACCCCTGCTCCTCCTTACTGTCTCATTTTTGCTTTAAGGTAAATGTTAACCAGTTGGTCTCATACACTTAGTGGATTATTTAAAGGAGACTAGGACTCATGAGCAATACTGTTTATTCCATTTTTAAAGTGAAAATATTTTAGTATAAAAATGTAAGTGACTTTCCAAAGCTCTAGCAATTTAGTGGCAGGACCAGAACCAGAAGTAGTTTTCTGCCTCCCTGTTTAGTACTCTTCTTATACTATGATATTATTATGATGCTTATTTGTATGATAAGTCCTACCTGATCGCTCAGCTCTTTTAAGTAATATTCTACTTGTGACTCTCACACAAAAACTATATTGACAGCCTCCTAAAACTAAGATTTGTAGAATTGTTAGATTTGTATTTCATTATCTTTTTAAACAGGAATGAGAGTAATGAAGTAGTCTGAAGACAGGCAGCAGGAAGAAAGACAAAGGACCTTGAAGCCAAATTGAAATCTTCCCTTTTCCTTTTTTAGGTTCCTTTAAAACAAGGCAGAAGTCTTATGGATTGGATTCGATTGACCAAAAGTGGAAAGGATCTGACAGGATTGAAAGGAAGGTTAATCGATGTAACTGAAGAAGAACTTAAAAGACACAACAAAAAAGATGATTGTTGGATATGTATAAGAGGTAGGTGGTATTTGTAATGTTCTTCAAAAAATATTGATTGTGTTTTCCAGTTGTAATACTCTATAACCCCTTGGTCGTGCTATTTGTTGATACTATTCACAGTTAAACAGTTGGAGTCCTGGTGTGGTGCTGTAGGTTAATGCGCCAGACTGCAAAGCCAAATTTGAATTGTAAGGTCGGCGGTTCAAGCTCACTAGCTGCTCCTTGGAAACCCTATACAGGGTCGCTATGGGTTGGAACTGACTCGACAGCATTTAACAATAACAACAACATTCACAATTAGGTAATGAAAATATATGTGTGCTAGCAGCGTATGCTAGGCAGCAAAAGATAAATTCTGACTTCGAGCAGTATTTATTCTTTAGATAATCGTTTACATTCTGATCCAGAAAACAGTGAATTTCTGAGATGAAATTTTTTTTCTGTAGCATCCCTGTACTCAATTTCCTTGGGAAGGAAGCAAGTGTTGGTCATTGTAATGCCAGACTAATTCAATAACATCTAGTTTTTGACTTTCAATAACTTTCCACAT